CTATTTAGCTCATGACACAAGAAAACAGAGCAAGAGCAATAGGAAATGAATACCGAAGTTGGATCAAGATGGCTTGTACATGTACGAGGAAGCGTGTTTTGCAAACCCTAAAAGGTCAATTCAATATTTGGTCAACTTTCCTTCAACAAGCTCTATATATATATAGTTTCAAAAAAAAAAACAAGCTCTATATATATATACATTACCAAAAAACAAAAACAAAATTATAACGTTATAAATACACTTGTACCTGGGTGTTTACGACACCAGAATACATACGCCTTAACGAGTGACCTCCAGATATATCAACGCTTCAGTTAAAAAACAAGACACAATTACTCAATAGTCAATATACTATTTTTTTCAAAATCTATTGCACTAAGTAAGCTTGGAAAAGAAAAAAACAAAATCACTCACGCATCAAGGAAGAAACCAGCATCACTCATGCATTTTACTTTGGTGGTAGGAGGAAACAAACCCTTGAAATCATCGCATCGTAAAATCGAAGAAAGACCCCCAGCAGAACATCCGTTGAGCAAAGCCTTACAATTATAGCATTATTGAATTAATCAACTTATAATTAACTCAAGTTTAAAGACATAAGAGAAGCAAAATATGAAATATATGTACTTGTTTAGCCTGACGCATTCCCTTTGCCATCAAATCTTCCATGACAGCTAAAAATATACGCCTTCCTCTAAACTGTAGTTTTGCAGCCTAATTGTAAGCAAGCATAGAAAATCTCAAGTTAATTACTAATGCAAATATCAAATATATAAAGATAATGCATATATAGACAGCCAATAGCATAACGATCTTTATGGTTTTAGCTAACCTTGTTTTCGCTATCACCGCCAAAGGATGCACCATCGCAATACCGGACTTTAACTTTATTCCAATTGTAAAAGTCTTCAAACATTCATTAGCAACAAAATATGAGAAAACATTCAATAACATTCCCACCAAGATCACCATTTTGTTTTCAGCAAGTAATCTTGAAAAAAACCTGGATTTTCGGCAGCTTTATTGCTTAGTATCCCTGTAAAATTTAACTGTTTCTCCATAAATTTAGACGATCCATAACCACTCCATTTACGGTCCTGACAATTTTTTATGCTGTCACACCATGCACCACCCTTTCAACAAAAAAAAAACTGGCCTTAACGATTAGGCAATGATTGATACATATTTATGTATCTAGGTTATCGATCGACATATATATAAAGACTATCTTATGTAGGAACCTGCAACTGAATGATCCAACTGTTTGCTCCTGAACCGTACCCACGATACAAATGATATCCAGGCACTGACCCATCCAGACACACTGCCACAACAAAGTTTTCCGTACGTCATGAAAATGTCAATCTAGAACTTTATAACAATGATGTAAAAAACAACGTTAACGGTCTAGTTTGTTTGTTTCTGTATGCGTTTGCTTTTGCGTTTACATGTCAATGATCAATAACATATATGTTTTTTTTTAACCTTAAAACCAAAATATGTTAAAGGTATTAAATTTATACAAATTGTGAAAAAAAAATTCTCATATAATCATGAATGAAAAAATTGGCATTTGAAAAATATGAAGTCTAGATTACAACAAAAGAAATTAATTGGAAAAGACTCTTACCCGCTCCTTTAGCAGCAGCGGCTTGGACGAGAGTGAGTCCTACCACCAGAACATTCGCATCAACTTGTTTCTGAAAAACATTTGTCCCATTGAAATCGTTGAACAAGTCGTCCATTTCATCAAAACCCATTACTCCATTTGCAATTATGCTTAAGACTCTTAAGAGTATGAGTCCTGCGAGACTCCAACTCCACAAAACCGCATTCATTTTCCTCTTGATGAATGAAATGAATATGGAGATGTCAGTATATAAGCATCATCGTGGTCTTTTGTAGAAACATGTTTTTTATATGGAAACTTAATTATGAATAAAGACTAGAGAGAGCGAGAGAGAATAACATTAATTACCAGTCATATATAACAGAGATTTAGTAAAATATTTTGCTTTCTTTAAATAAAGGATTCTACATCATGATTTACATGATCTCTTGCCATATATACATTATTACCGGATACTGAAGAATGTGACAGACAGATTGCATAATTTTGAGGTTTATACACAAAACCTGCTCCTTGACACCACAATTTTTTGTTTAAACCTCATTTTATGAAACTGCCACACCTTTTATCTGTCATTGTAAGTTTTTCCCCATACGTGTTTAAATTTCATTTCAAAACAAAAAAAAAGAAGATGATAGTGTCACTTTACGTGGTGATTACAAAGAAAACTACGATCAATATAGTGTCTCTCTATCACACTTGTGTTTCTTTTTACAGCTTTTCTTTTGGCTATTCTTTTTTTTGTTTAAATCTTACGATTATGCTTTTTCCCACTTTGAGAACATTTGGTATTTAACGATGACAAAAGGTATAAGAATAATTCTCACAAATTTGCCACTTCATTTCATCATAAGGTTGTCTAGTTACGTTTTTCATCGATGAAGAGAAATAAAAACGTTTTGTACGGCCCAGGCTTGATTAATGATGATTGTAATCTTGTTCACTTATTGGTTCTATTTTATTTCTCTTTCGCTATTGGGCTGTATAAGAAACTGGGACTCGAAAAGGCTTTATGTATTGTTTTGATTCCTTTTGCATTTCAATAGTAAAACCCTTTAAAACAAAAAAAAAAACTAGAGATAAGACAACATTACCTGATAAATTAGGTGTAAGAATTCTTTGTTTATAAAAGTCATTAAATATCGATACCGTGTAATAACAAAACTGGTGTAGCCATATTTTTTTCAATAACACCGCCCTCATCCATCCGTTTTGTATTCGTTGACCTTTTGACATTTCATTTTTTTCACACAAAGAGAGAGGGACAGATAGAAATAGAGAAACCAAGAAAAAAGAAAAAACATGTTGCTTGCTTTGATTATGTTCTCACAACTAGAAAAGTCACCGCTTCTTCAATATCTCTCCTCCTTTATAAGCAATAATTCTCAACTCCAATTACAGTCCCACCATTAACAACAACAAAACACACCAAATCAATTCCCATGGCTTCACCAACTCCAA